AAAGACGCATCTGCACCCTTTTTCACCTAAAGCAGAAGTCTTCATCCGATGATGCCACTTGTTGCCGTTGATGGCCGTTGCAGCAGCACCGGTGCCGGTCATGCTTCAAAGTGGAACAAAACGACTTGGTTTTACTCTAAAGAGGGGCTTGAGTTTTGGTTGACTTTTGAACCCCCTACTTTGCATCATCTCTCTTTACATGCTTTCCACGGGCGCTGCTACTATTCGATTTACGGGCACCGCCTTATTAATCTAGGGGCCTTACAGTGCAAATTGGACTTTATTCAATAAAGTTCCGACAATTTCATTCAGCCACGTCTCGCCACTCATTTGAAATTACCGGTTGAGCCTATGCCATCCCTGAGGGTTATGGTGGGGAGTGGTCACAGAAGGGCCACGGGATTGTACGTGATTTTCAGGTGCAGATTCAGGGCCATACTTTGACTTTTCCAGCTTATGTTTTACCAGTTGCGGGGACTGACGTGGTTATCGGAGCCTCTTGCTTAGCTACCTTGGGACCCCATGTAGCTGATTGCAGCACGTCCACGGTTCAATTGGATCTTGGTAGCCAATTTCTCACTCTTAAGGGTACTCGCGACCCGCCGACTGTACAAGCTCAATTCCACCATTGAATTCGATTGCAACACACCGATGCCATCGCCAACTGCTTCATCTTGCAAGCCACTCTTTCTAATGATTCGTCTATGACATCATTCCAGCTACCATCCGATCTTCCTTTGGATCTTGCTACTTTTCTCCTTTCAAATCTTTTTTTGAGCCACCACGTGGATTACCTCCATCACGTGGTCATGAACATCGAAACTGCTCACCTTCTGCACATATCACTCTACTTTCTTTTCTTTCTGGGAGAGCCAATAGAGAACTCAACAAGGGTATCAACTTTTGACTCGACTCGTTGAAAGAGTAAAAGCTCCTGACTAGCTTTAGAGCACACGGCTATTGTACTTCGCTGTCGGTCACCGCATTGAAAGCGATCTTTATACGTTAGGTAAGTTAGCGGCGTAATAAGCCGGCCTTTGAAGAAAGAAAGAAAGACCGTTCCATCTTGTTCGAAAGCGGTCCACTCCGGAAGTAGTGGTGGCAAATCTTTGGGATGGACTTAAAAAAGAAAACTCTTTCTTGAAACGAAAGAATATGAAATGAAGAATGACAGGGCTAGGTAAAAGGTGCATTAGAGCAAGTCACTTATTATCCCCACCCACAGGAGGTAAGGAACTGGGACGGAATGCGAGCCAGAGGCAGTACACCCTTTCCGGTAAGCAGCACGTGTGGGTGTGCTTATTTGAGAGTAACAAAGGAAGTAGGAGAAAGGTTCATGAGCGGGTGGCTAATATATTCTCGACAAAATAAGTCCCTCAGTCCTCAAGTCAATCAAGAGGCTAAACTCGATCTATCTTTCCGGCTTAGCCGAACTCCTCACCTGGGGTGACTGAAGGATATTCTGATTCTTAGTAGCGCCTTATTAGTCTAGGGCGCCATTAGTCCCTGACTCTGTAAAGCCTGAAGGATAGGATCAAACTCTGATTTTGACTATTCTTTTGCCTGCTAGGACCAAGGCATTTTTTCTCTAAGCTAGGATGTGCCAAACCGGCTTCATTTTAAGACTAGGTGGACTCAATATCCTTTTTCTTTATCTATGCATGCACCTCCTTCTGCTTCGTACCTCTTCCATCAGATAGTCAATATCCTTCGTTGCACGTCTATAGACCCCTCTTCTACAACTCCCATAGGCTTACGACTCAGTCCTTCTTTCAAACTCAACTTCGCCTCCGTCAACCTCCTTTCCTTTCTGCCTTAGGGCAAGCCAAGTAGCTGCTACTACTTTCTCTCTATTCCCCAACTCGGGATTGATTCCATGATGAAATGAACTAAGAAGGTACAAGTTGATTGAGTCCACATATACAACCCTAGTTTACCTAGGTAGGGATCAACATCGAAATGTTCAAAAGTTGACTCCACATATAGCCTGGAAAGCCTATTTTACTAGCGGAGTGGAATCTCCATTTGATAAAGTTTCATTTGCAAAAGCTCATTGTCCTATTTTACCTTTACATGCTTTTCATGAATAGACTTAGCTTCGTTCCATATCCCTGTCCTTTCGCTTACCGTACCTCACCCTTCTTTCATAGCTCGCCCTTTCTTATTCAATGGAAAAGAAAGTCTTATTAGTAGTTGGGAATGGTAGGGTTTCACGTCTCACCGCGTGTTCCCAACTGACCTGCTGACCTTAAGGAGCTAGATTGTTTAAATTCTTCTATTCACTTAGCACTACTCACCCTTCTCTCTTCGATTAAAGGAAAGAAAGATAGCAAGATTGATGATAAGAAGGAAACCCTAGCCAAGGTTCCCTCTCTTATTCAGTGAAAGCATTCCAGTGCTCAATATCGAGAGTAGTCCCCTGCTCACTAAGAGCCATTCTGACTCATGTTCACACACGAGCCTTTCTCCATCTATGATAATATGCACCTTCTATAGTAAT